ACTTCTACCGTAAAGAGTCAGTGTTATAACCTATTGTGACTTTTTTTTTAATTTAGGTTGATTACGTGTAAGGGCATTATAATGAGATGGAAATTATTTGAGGATCATTAATAGGACTACTGCTATTCTATATTTCTTAATATAAAATGTTATAAAACAGTTTATATAGGTAACATTAAAATCTAATTATGAAATAAGAATGTATCTTCCTATTTATAATTAAATAGTAAAGCGATAGAAATAAAGTATATATAACAATTTTGTATGTGGTAAGTTGTCTTTAAAATTCAATCTTAGCATTTAAAGGCATTATAAATATATTTAATTTACATTCATGTTTACATTCTTCATGATTACATGTATTTCAGTAGTTCTATGACTGTGATATGATTAAATTAATTTGGATTTTGTTCACCGAAATAATTACTCACCAACTGTTTGAAACATCCTATTCATTTAACCCCACAAGTAAAATGCGAACAAATGCGATCATAGAAAACTTAGCATCATTGACAATATAGAGAAACATGAATACAATTCTCTCAATCCCCTTCTCTGCTGACACATAATTCACTTATGTTATTAAAGTTGTGAGGACCTAAAATAGAATGAAGGGCGCTGCTAGCTTATTGTTAAAGTAAAATAGCTTTAATGAGACCCTTCAGTTGCTTTACAATATTTCTACCAAAGTGAACACAACAAAGCCAAATAACACAAACTGGCCCTAATGGATTTTTTCCTAGACTGCTGCTTTCCCACCAGCTCATGGACTGCTGAGTCTGCCTAGTCCTCAAAGTGCAATATGCACTCACCATTCGAAAGAGAGAAGCCAAAAAGGCTTTTAGTATGGGCAGTCAGAAGGGAGGCAATGTAGTCGAAAATGCTATTAAAGTAGAAATGCTCCCTGTTTGGGTAAGGAGATTATCACCTACGGTGAATTAAGAGGCAAGATTGCAACTGCGCACACATTTTAAATAGCCCTTAATGAAAACTGCTGTGATTTTCTGTTTTTGGCTTTACCCCATCCAGTGTTGTTGTTGTTGTTGTTGTTTTCTTAATTATTTTTAAATCCTCACTCGAGGATATGTTTTTATTGATTTCAGGGGGGTGGGGAGGGAGACAGAGAGAGAGAGAGAGAAAGGGAGTTTGCAACATCTGTCAGCTGCCTCCCACGCATGCTCAACTGGGAAAATCCCATCTGTGGCCTTTTCGTGTAGGGGACTATGGTCTAGCCGACTGAACCACCAGGCCTGGGCTTTTCTTCATTCTTCTGAATGAAGCAGGAAGTTCAAATAACTTATTATGAGTGAGAGCACCTGCAACTCAAAAATCTACCTTCAGTAAATACCACATTAAAATAACATTGCCGTGGTCAGGGAAATTATGAAAGAGATTTAATGTCGCCCAAGCTTAATTAAAGCAGCTTATGCTTATTTAGCGTTTATCTCCACATTGTCGTTGATAGCTCTGCTAAGGTATTTTTGTGCATAGAGAGCTTCCCTAATTAAATAGCTTATATCTGAGTCATTCAGCAATTTCACAACACACTGGTCAGTAATCATCACACTCAGAGTGATGAATGTGATGGTGGCTTCCAAAGATGAATCGCACAGGAGGAGGCTTAGCACACTAAGAAGATGCATGTGTCCTTATCCCCGCATTACTCCCCATCGCCCCCACTCATGCCCTCACCCTCCTGTTGTCTGTATGTAATAACTTAATCGATAAAAAATTTTAAAAATAAGATGCATGGACTTTTAGGAGAAAAAACATGTATAATTTTTGAAATATTTATGATTTCCCACAGCAAAAGACATAGTATTTTCTATTGTAACCTCTTGTGCTTAACTACAGCTGCCTCTATGACATTTGAAAATCTGAGCTATCCTATACACAAAGGGAGTTCCTCTCTTTGATCACATTTATAATATTAGTAGAGCTAAAATTTTCATTATGGATTATGGCTCCTGCGGATATAAGCACAAACTCTTGGGGAATTTCTGGTATTGATTTAAATTTCCAGAGATTGATCCCATATTACCATATTACCCTTTGAATATATTTATCTCATTAACTCTTGCAGCAAATGATCAAGATCCTCCAATAAAAATTTGTTCACATCTAAATGCAATATTTTATTTTGTTTATTTTTTCCTTATGATTAACAAAAATTTAAAACTAAATAAAAATAACATATTATAAATAATCACTGATATACTTGAACAATGATGACATAAAAGGTAAATGCTAATTAACTAGTTGAGAAATGCAGACTAGTTAGTTGAAAGTTTTAGTAAATCAGAATCTCATTCAAGTTGAAAGTTTTGGTAAATCAGAATCTCATTCAAGTACTAGAATTGCATGCCATTGTGTTTATTAGTGACTAAATAAATATAAGTAACTCATGAAGCCATATTTGTATCGGTGGTATGACATAGCAAATCATAAATTAGTGCTTAACATCTTTTTTCTCAGAAGTAATGTATTTGGGGAAATAAGATGTGAAATTTTGTTCCCCCAAATAAAATTCTTGGATGTATTGAGTTAAAATAATTTTATTTTATGTTAATTAATTAATTTTAAAAATAATTTTATTGATTTTTCAGAAAGGGAGGAAGGAGAGAGAGTAGGGGAGAGAGAGAGAGAGAGAGAGAGAGAAACATTGATTGGTTGTCTCCTGTATGCTCCCCAATGGGGAATGAACCTGCAACCTAGGTACCTGACCTAAAGTAGAAATGCTCCCATGAAATTCTGGTGCACAGGATGACGCTCCAACCAACTGAGCCAGAACCCAAAATAATTTTGGATTTATGTCATATTATGAATGAATGAAGTATAATTCACTAACATTAATAACTTAATGCTATCAGGTAAAAGAGAAGAAATGTTATCTGAACTAGAGAAATAAAAAGTATATTGTGCTACCTACAGGAGAGTGATTTGAATGTTCATTCCTTTAAAATATTATAGTGTTCAATTTTACCTCATTCATAGTCTAAAAACAAAATATATGTTAAATGCGTTAAATAACCTTTTAGTAATAATGTGACATTAAAAAAATTTAAGGTCAATGTTATTTGGCAATGAATATAAAGTAGAATGCTCTATAATATTATTCCTCACCTACATATTTGCTAAATCACAGTTATTCAGACCTTTTAAATTTTTATTTGTATGTGCTGATAAACTTACATTAAAATGACAATAAGATCCTTATAAAAGTTAGAAATTTATCATGTGCTGTTGCCTAATTTTTTAAAAGTTATTTTACTTAAAACACCAATATATTACACTATCACACTAATCTACAAATTACAAAAAATAATTCCACTCAGATATATAAAACAACTTGATTTTTATAAGTTTCCTATGAAAGTGACCTTGTTAATATCAATAAACATTTTCCAAAATAACTCAGCTTTCTTCAGAAGTCAATAATTGATTAGCCAAGTTGAACAGATAAAAAAAAAAAACTACATCCTAAGGCTTATAGTTTGTTTTGTTCTCATCATATCTGTAAGTTTAATAAAGGAAACTGGAATTCCAAGTGCTGTCCCCAGTATTTTCCTCAATTTAAAATTACATTAAAATAAACTTTATATGTATTACTTTGAATTGATTTATATTTTCTTGATAAGTCAATAACTTTTACTAAACAGGGCTAAGGGTAAGGAGAGATCAAAGTTTGTTCTATATATAGTTGCAATAAACTCTAACAGAGAGCTTTCTTACAACTAATTAAACTATTATTTTTCTTTTTAAAATAGTTCTCATATCTGAAATATCTCAGTTGGTTTTTGAGATTTTTATAATATACTATTTTGATTTACCTTTACCAAACATTTCCTCAAAGCAAGATAGTACACTGGTACATTGTATTTACAAAACAAATAAGCAAATAAAGAAACTCCAGTTTAAAGTTTTATATTAAGTATAGGTCAAAATTACTTATTTTAGAAATTTGGTAATTATGAGTTCTATTATGTAACTATTCCTGAAAAATATATGTGCTATACTTCAAAGTCCTTTTACATCTTCCCTAAATCTTACTCAATTCTCACTACTCTCCATTACTCAAGTTAGTTTAATGAGGTCATCACACTTAATAATATAAGATGGCTAGCTCTAAAAGTTATTTTTTTCTGTTTATAAATCTTGATATTCCATCATATGTATTAATGTAGAATTCATTTGTTCAACAAATAACTTAGGTCCCAAAGACTGCAGGCCCTGTTACAATACATATAGAACATAATACAATAACTAATAATTTATAATACCAGAATAAACTCTGTTTTGTGTACTTACAACCATAAACATACTTTTGCCTCTCCCTTTCTCTCTATACATATCTTTATATATATGTATATGGATATGAAGTTCAATAAATCAAAATTTTAGTTTTTGTCTTTTCTGGCAATGTATTTTATTTCATTTCATAATTATTATTAAAAATAATTTTGTCATATGGAAGAAAGAGGATATTAAAAATAATTAATCCTGCATGTCAAATATTCTAACTATGTTACAGGAATAGTTTACTATATGTATCTTCTCTTAAACAAAACAAATAAATATTCAACTAAACCACTTGTTGCTCGTTCTTTTCATTAACTTTCTAACTCAAATACCACACACATAAGCCACAAATTTGAAAGAAAAAAAAATAATGTTATGAAAGCTTCATTTCATCTGTAAAACATTTTTTTAAATGTCAGATTGAAAAGGACTTTTAGGGGGATGCTGTAGGATTTTTTCAACATTGATTCAGTAAAAATGTCTACTGACCATTTTGGTAGAAATAAAATTTTCTTTTGTTACTTATCCATTCAGAAGCAGATGTCTAAATTGCTTCCCTGATTTTCCACAGTAACAGAATGTAACAAGATGCATTCATTAAAAACAAAATTCATAATGTCCTACAGAGGCACCATTTTTATCCCCTTCTCACAGCAACTGAGATTGATGAGCAAAGAACAAGTGGCTGACATAAAACATACCCATGGGGGTGCCAACGCCATAACCTTTGGAGTCTATAAGGCCACCAATCTGTGTCAGGTTGCAATTCCGCTGGGTAACAAATTCGATGGTTGTTGACTCCATTAGGAAAGCATAATCAGAGGTGAGCACTCGCTGGATTCCTTCTTCATTACTTTTGACGAGCACTGACTGCCTCCTGCTACTCATAAAGGCCCACATTTTGTCATATGTGGAGATTTTTGATTTCTGGAAGAAAATAAAACACATAAGAAAGACAATCCTTAGTTTCCATGTGATCCTACAATACTAAGATGGACTGACTATATTTACTTTACTCATACTACCTTTAATTGTATTATTAATAATAGTAACATCTAAACAGAAAATCAAAATCTGTATAAAATTTTTCTCATAGCAATTCCTCATATATTTCCAGAAATAGTACCGATTTATCTAACAAATATTTCAACTGTGTCCCAATGCACAAAAATGCACAAGTAGAAAATCACAGAAGGTAATAAAAAGGAAAGTAAACAGATTAATAAGGAGGGTCTTTTGTGCTTATATCTCACATGAGTGCCTCATGTGTATAATTTTGTCTTTCAACATTACAGTAACATCAATTTGATAGAGACAGACAATGGACACCGATTGACACTGCAAAACTTCAAGAGGTTATTTTTCCCAATTTGGTTGACTATAAGACAGATGTCATGTCAACCCCCAAAGATACTCAAAGATACAGGTTAAAGAGATGAGAGTAATTCATTACCAATAAGGATGTTACAAATAAGAATGACTACATTTCCACTGAGACACAGCCTGCCTCTGGACAACAGAAAATCTATCATTTAGGTGCATTAACAAACTAAAGATTTCTGGACCAATAAAAATTGAGTAGTTTTTATATGCAACTGCAAATTCTCAGTGGGCTTTACTAGGATTTCATTACTAAGAGAAAGAAATGGGCTTTATTCAAAAGGAACTGGTACAACATAAACATGAAAAAGGTTAGTATCTTCTTATGGAAAGCTCTTCTGTCAATCCCTTACCATAGTTTAATTCTTATATATTACAATACTGAAGTTATAAATATAAGATATTCATCATACTGGTTGCACTGTTATTAAAAGCTAAAACAGCCAAATGATTTTCAAATAAATATATACAATCTTTTTATAGCATAAGCATGCTTTTAATCCTATATGGGCCAGGCCATACATGTGATATTACCATGACTTCTACTAAAAGGCAGGTGTAGCCCGTCCAGTGTAGTTGAGTGGTTGAGCATCGACCCAGGAACCAAGAGATCGTGGTTAGACGCCTGGTAAGGGCACATGCCCGGGCTGTGGGCTTGATCACCAGAAGGGGGCATGTGGGACACAACCAATATATGATGTTTCTCTCTCATCTATTTTTCTATCTCTCTATTCCTCTCTCTTCATCCCTCTCTTTAAACATTAATAAAAACATAAAAATTCATGTGCACAACAATGTTTATAAAAATTCTTTCACTGTTTCAATAAAATGGGAAGAGAAATCCTAACTTTACTGGAGGAAAAAAGTAAAGGCATGTGAGTGCTATATAAAAGCAAGTATAGCATTAGGGCTAAGGGAGGTAAGAAATGCAAACCTTTGCTCTCCAGGGAAATGGAAACATGCTAACAGGACAATGGCTCAAACTTTAAAAGAGAGCAGCTGAAATACCTCGAACAGCAGCCCAAACTTTTAATCCTAATAATCAGTAACATAATATTTAGAACAAGTTCACTTCCTTTCAAAGGTAAGAAAATTTTCCCTAATATTTGCATTAAGTGAGGATTAAATACAAGAAAGTCAAAATTATAGATTACAATTATTTAGGTAAAGAAAAATAAAATTGGATGCAGTTTTTGGTTTAGTAAACCTGTGACTGGAAAGAGATAAACGCAATTCAATAAAGGATAACACTAAAAATTTTTGTGATGAAAAATGCACACACACCAACTGAAAATTTAAAATGTAACATCTTTAGTGGGAGTGATAATATGGTATCAGAACATGGGTGGCCAAAACCAAGCAGAGAATGAGAAAGTGAACAAGAAGTTATTTTTACCTGTATAAGTCATGAATCGCCTAAATTAGCTGCTTTGCTTTAGCTATAAAAACATTAGCAATCAATGTCTTCTATGCCTATTTAAATTTATCCAGTGCAACTTATGCTTTGACAGGGCCAAGGCACTTTTTTATTTAAATTATGTTTATTTAATTACTCTGATATAATGTCTGACATATGCTGGAAACAATTCTAGATATTGTCCAGATTCCAGGTGTTGCAAAAATATAACATGCAAGGAGATCATGGATATTTGCCTTTCTTATAGGAGCAGTGAGAAGCGGAAGCAGGTGTGAAGCAGATTTGGTATACAATCACATTTGCATTGTGAGACCACTGAGGCTGCTATATGGAGACCAACAGTGGCAAAGTTAGATGTAAGAAGGTAATTCGGGGTACATAGCAATAGTCTATGTTAGAAACAGTATATGTATTAGGAGAGTATGTGGGAAATAGAACGAAATGTAAGTATCCAAGATGTGTGTGTGTGTGTGTGTGTGTGTGTGTGTGTGTGTGCATAATGGATAACACTTGGTAATTATTTGAATATAGGAAGTAAAGAAGAGATTTAGATTAATGCCTTGCTTTCTGATTTAACTTGAGTGAGAGAGAGAGAGAGAGAGAGAGAGAGAGAGAGAGAGAGAGAGAGAGAACCAGAAAGAAGGTTAAGTATTTGGGAGGAAAGATAACATATATTGTTAGAGATACCTAAGGAACATCTTCTAAATGGATCAGTTATGTGAAGTTAGATATGTAAGTTTGAGGTTCAGTGGAAAATTCAAGACAAAATATATAGATCTTGGAGTCTTCCTGGATACAGAAGAGAAAGTAGCAGATGGAGGAGAAAATGGTCATAGAGGAAGGGGAGTTCTAGGGTCAAGCTTTGCACAATGGCTGGCAGAGAAAATTGAGCCTGCAAGTGAGACATGAAAAGAGTAAAAGAGAAGGATCTCTTACCTTTGAGACAGCATGGAAGGACCTGGACAGTGTTATGCTAAGTGAAATAAGCCAGTCAGAGAAAGGCAAGTATCACGTGATCTCACTCATATGTGGAATCTAATGAATAAATAAACTGATGAACAAAATAGATCCAGAGACATAGAAGCATGGAATAGACTGATGAAGAATCTCAGAGGAAAGGGGAGTGAGGAGCAGGAAGAGATTAACCAAAGAACTTATGTGCACATATACATAACCCATGGACACAGAAAACAGTGCAGTGAAGGCCTGTGGGGGAGGCTGAGGTGAGGGTCAATAGGGGAAAAAAGGGGACATCTGTAATATTTTCAACAATAAAGATAAATTTAAAAAAAGAATTATCAAATCCAGATTAAGGAATAGAATCTGCAAACTGTGGTGCTGCAGAGATCAAGGCAAGAGAATATTCATTGAGGAAGTTGTCACCTGTAGTGATTTGCCAAAAAAAAAAAAAAAAATGCATACAATGAGAATAGAATAATATCTTTGGATTTGGCAACAGAGTTCCTTGGTTATTTTAGCAAAAGTTACTTTAATGGAATGAAGCATTTAGAAATCACATTGAAATAGATTAAAGAATGGGAAAGTAAAATGAAACCAGTAACTGCCAAAAAAGAAAACAAAAATCAGAAAGTAGGTCACTGAAGAAGAGGAGATATAGGGCAGGGCATATAATATTTTGGTTTAAGTAAAATTTTCAGGATTGAAGAGTTTTGAACATGTTTAAACAACAATGGGGGATTTTCAATAAAAAGAAAAAATATTTAACATGCCTGAGAAAGAAAGAACAATCAATGTTTCTACTAAGGTGAGTCACAAGTAGAATAAAAGAGGATTTAAAATACTGTAATTTGGCTTGACTTCTGAATTCAAAATATTTATATTAAACTCATGTAGAATTATATTTATACACTAATCTATTGTGTAAGGAAATGAGAAATTAAGAAACCTCAGATAGATTTCTTTTTAATAAAACAGAAAACTGTTGAATGTCTTCATAGTAAAATAAACTATAGGATCTCTAAGATAATGGAACTGCACAAGTTAAAGATTAGGAATCAAAATGCATTTAATGTCAGGAAAGAGATAAATACAAATATAATTAATCAAATATAAATATGTTGAGTATGAAAGTTATATGTAAACTTATAAGAAAGGACATATCAAGTTGCAATGTGAACAAAAGTTTGTTGGTGGAAGATAGGACATGTTGAGAGAACCACATGTACTATGTTGTATTCAATCTCCTATTATTATGGTTAGTTTCATTCAATGAAATAGCACTGATCACTGTAAAAGAGTATGATAAAATCATTGGCAGAAAATAAGCTGCTGAGCTAAAATATGCAAAGTGAGGACCAAGGCAGAACACCAGCAATGACTCAGAATTTGGGATATATAGCTTGGCCCTGTGCATTGTGCTGCCAAATTCATTACAAAGTCTTTCCAGAAGAAACATATTATTTAAGAGAAATATGAAAAATCGAAGTTAGGTAATAAGCTAAACATCTATATTTATAAAAGCCCAAGTAACGGGCCGACCAGTTGCTATGACAGGCACTGACCACCAGGGGGCAGACGCTCAATGCAGAATCTGCCCCCTGGTGTTCAGTGCGCTCCCACAGTGGGAGTCCCACTCAGCTGACTGGGATGAGCAGTGCCGGGATAAGTGGGAGCGGCTCCTTCCTGGATTCCCGCAGGCCATACCAAGGGACCCCAACGGTGCACAAATTTGTGCACCAGGCGTCTAGTGAAATATAATTCTCTGTAAAGAGAGAAATGAGATAATGACAAATTAGAGCATAGCAGAGAAGGTGCTTACATAGAGTGGTCAAGTAAAAGAAATATTAAATTAGTGCAAATTAAATTAAAGAGCATCTTGTTTTACTCCTTAATTTCACAGATGAGAAATTTCACTGGTAAGAAAAAAATTACCAGTGAAGGTAGATTTATAAAGAGAAAAATGATGATAGGATTTGTGACAGCATGGTTTTATAGAAGAATGTTACTTATATAATAAAATTACTTCTTTGGCAAAAAATGTAAAGCCTTTCTAAATATCATCCTTAGAGTTATGCCATACATAGTAATTTATATAGGTAATGTAAAGGAAATACATTAAATGACATCTCAGAGACATTGCTTGGATTGCATATGGAAGTCAAAGCACTAC